ATTTGGGTGGGAGGAGAAAAGAGCCTTTAAAATGGATCCGGAATGAGCCTGTTTTCTGCTAGATAAATCCTGGTGGATGGGGAGTCAGGCAAATGGACTAGTCTCACTATTTTTGGGGAAGGTTAGTATAGAATTAATATAGATACGATTTATTTCAATAAGGCAATTGGACATGATGATTCTTGTCTTTGCTGGTGACAGCTGGTGCTCTTTCAGCTTATAAGATAGTTACACTTATGTGGAACAAAGGTAGCTGAGAGGGGAGAGCTCAGTTCTCCTAAGGTGCTCGTTACATCCATTACCCAATAGGTGTGTTACTCTGAAGTGGAACTGCTAAATAGATTTGGGGCTCCATATGGTATTTGCAGGGTATTTCACCCGGAGGGGAATGATAATTGCCCGCCAGTTTGATAAAAATGAATCTTTGTTTCGTAAATACTTAATTACATGAGCGATACAACACAGTACAGGCAATCTGCAGGTCTCTTTAGTTTTGTGATGTCCCTGCACAAAGTTAAGAAGTTAACCTCTGAGCTCTTCTTAGAAGTAAAAACAGTTGCCTGCTCATTGAGCTGCTCGTATTTAATTCACTGACATTTATAAAAGATCTCAAAAACCTGAGAGAGAAATTGTGGTATAAATGGAAAGTTTATTTAAAGGTCCTGAACTTTTTATCACGGCAGGCAAGTTCCTGAGCATATGAAATTTCTGTTTCCTCAGAAGAAAAAATTAAAACAAATCCAAGTGTTAGAAACTCAGGAATAAATAGCATAAATCTGTATTTAGCTTCCCATTGTCACTTAAATCTTGATGACGATGTTACCTGTTTTCCTGATTTACCAAACCTCCTAGAAAATTCCAGTCTTGGGTGGGATGTGGCTTATGGTGCTTTAACATGAGCTGCTTTTTTCTGGATATGTTTGTGATTAGATTATTTCTGCAATTTGCGGAGCTACCATAGGAGTCCTGTGGTCAGGGTTCGTATCTCTGCATTGTCACTCACTGCCGTTCTTTTGGGGTAGGCCACGGAGGGCTCTGACTGATAATTTGTCTTCAAATGGATGAGGATTTTGCGCTTTCCCTGGACACTGCTGAAATTCCACAATATACAATGTTGAGCTTAGGAAAAAAACCTCAATTAGTTATTTTCTTCTTTTTAAAAGACTTCATAATAAGGTAGTTTTTCAGGAGTTGGTTGGCAGCTCAGTTTTCATATGAAAAGGTTGATACACAGCTGGTGGCAGTAATTAGTTACTTTCCCCTTGTCAATCAGAGTGCTCAAACTTAGTTTCTCAGAGAGCACTGCCTTGGAAAGAGAATTGTGAAAAGAAAACACTGCAAGTTTGAAGGTGCCCAGATGATGAATGAAGTGATGCTGGGATTTTAAAAAAATTTTCAAGTGGGTTTTTTGGTTTTGTTTTACAAAAAGGTGGCTTTTAAACTGCAGCACACAATGGCTTTGTCGTGCAATAAGGAGGTAGTACAGTAAATGTTTTTAAATCATAGTTGCCTTAGCTATTAGCTTTATTTAAAATGGGTCAAGTAACAATTGAAAAATCTCAGCATAATTATTGTATTTACTTTGCATTTATCTTGATTTAGCTAAAGAAAACATATTGATTCTAAAAATAATAGATATTATTTCTAATTTTATACTCTAGTGCATGTATTATATGGATTCCTAGTAAAACAATGGCTTTTGCAAGAGCAAAACAGTAGAAAAAGTATATATACCTGTGGATCTCTAAATGAAGCTGCGTACACTTACCATTTGGTTCATGTGTTTGGGTGTTTTCTTTCAGAAGAGGGACCAACATGACACAACAGGGAATAACCTGTTGGTCCTCAGCTGTACTTGCTCAGGTTTTTTTGACCGTGGTTCAAAGTGTTAAGATGTAGAAAGCATCCTTCTCTTGCATTCAGTCAAACTGTTGTTTTCCCATCACAGCGTGAAGTCATGTAGCCTGCCTGACCTGGCATAGAAAGCTCATTCTGGAGGCATAGATGCAGCATAGGAATTATTTCCTAAAAACCGTGGTTGACTGAAATCACTGGGTAATGGGGGGCGGGGAGGGAGGGCATGCTGTTAGTGTTGAGTGTAAATGTTTGATAAGCTGCTTTAAAATGTGATTGTGTTTCTTATTTTTAGTTAAGTGCTGTAACTGACTAGTACTTCTGGGTATAAGTAGCTGATGGTGGTATAAGCAATGAATTTCAAAAGGATTTCACTCAAGATAGATCTTAATGTAATAGCTTTTGAATTCGCAGGGTTTGTCTTACCAGTGTTAAGCAAAGTGTTCTGGGTTATAAGTTTCACTGTCCACGTCTTCAGTGACTCATTGCTGAGAGTCAAAGTACACTCCTCCCTTTTCAGGTTCATTCATTGCATAGCTTTGCTGTGTTCTCTTGCATAAATGATGCAGAACCTCAGTAAACTTTGCAAAAGAAAATACCTTTTTATAATTTGAAAGAGAAATAAAGGGAATTAAACTGAGGACCTGAGCATGAAGCATGCTTATCAAGTCTGAGCTACTGAAAGTAAAAAAATTAAATTATGTGTATGCAGTATTTATTTTCCTTAGTTTGGATTAATCAAAGAGTGTACAAGTCTAGCTTAATGTTTACATGCATGCAGTGGTAATTTAATGAAATGTAACTCCAGCTGGTACATCGAGTAGACTTTAGTGTCTAGGTCAGAGAAAGCTGAAAAAACCTTATAGCTTAGCTTCCATGTGGCAAAGTGCCTTTTGCTGCCCTTTTAAACTGCTCACCAAGTTTCTTTTTCAGTTGATCTTCCTTGCATTCGCCTACTCCTATTCTGTTTTCTCTAGTCATAGCGGGTGAAGAACTATTTAAGGATCACAGAAGCAGGACAGAGGTACTAAAAGCTTCAACACAAAGTAGGCACAGCTTTTAATTTTGTGTAGATTAATACTTTGATCTGTATTAAATGCTTTTTGAAGGACAGTAATTTTATTATTAAAAGAGAGGTGTGGTCTTTGATGTTGGAAAGTACAGTCTTTCTGCAGTCAGTGATCCGGCAGGGAGAGTGCAGATGAGCAATGGGCTGGTGCTCCTCTGGGAGCTGCATACTTTACCAATCGCTCGGTTAAGACTAAGAACAGCCTGCAGGTGAGAACAGTTTGCAGGCACAACCAAAAACTGGTATCTTGTGCAACCTGAGAAATTGCTCAATTCAGCGAAGTTTCTCAACAAACATGGAAGATTAGGAAAAATAGAGAAACTTGACAGATATGAACAGGACAATGTCAATCTGCTCTGATTAACTATTCTGAAAGAGAAACAGTCAGTGTTGCAAGGGAGAGTCATTAATACTATAGCGCTTACTGGTTTATTCTACACTTAAGTCCAAATACCAAATTGATCTGATTCTTTCTTTGTAAACAGCAATTACTTGGCAAATGTTTGTCTTTTGGTTTCACAAGACAGTTTTAACTGAAATAACTTGTCACTACTGAAAAAAGGGAGGGCTTGTTTCTTATTCCCCATTTGTTTTCCCCACTCCTAGGGCTTTTCTTTGGTGCTAGTCTTCTGAGAAGTCCAGGCAGAAATGAAATAGCTTTTTTTCAGCTGTACTAACAAATGTTATGAACAGAGACTTGGATGCCAGAGTTACTTACTATTGAAAAACCTGAACTTTACAGTGTATTTCAAACAACTGTTACATTTGGGACAATATTTGTATATACTTTGTAATACCTAAGCTAATGTGATGCTTGTAAACATCTGATATGCTGTAAATTAAGGGAACTTCTTCATCTTCCCTGTTACAAAACCACAGCTGCAGATTTTTTTCTGAAGGATAAAAAGCTATTGCATAGTTAGGGGACTTTCTACGTGTCTACACACGCTTCCACTGAGGTGCACCGTTGTTAGCACAAGCTTTGTAACAGCACTTGGGTTTTGAGGGAGGTGGAGGTAAAGTAGGGTGGCATTAAGAGTAGCTGAGGGCAAGACAGCCAGGATGAGCCTGTCAGTGAAAAGTTTGGGAGCTGGTGGTAAGGATTCCCGCTTCTTGTTGACCAACCCCTTCTCCCCATGTTTGCCACAAGCAATTGGAAACTAAAGTTAACTATAGATGCTAATTTCAAATGAAAAAGTGTTTTACCAGGGTGTACACACCTTAGTTTTGTGGCTTGTCCTAGACTTCACTAAAGAATTTCTGAGGTTGTGGGCAAACACCGGCTCTGGACAGCTGTGGTAGTGAAAGATGTTACTGCATCGGCCAGGAGGAAAAATTTTTAGGGTTGCTTCCTAAATTACCTGAGGGGAAAATCAGCCAGGTTAACAGGTCACATTGTTTATAGTATAGTTGCAGTTATACAGGCACTACTTATATTGGCCTAGATGTATTTGTTGCTTAAAAAGGAAAGCCGGGACAGGAATGGCCATTGCTGCCTTCAAGGCTTTAGCAGGCTCAGTTTTCTTGCAGTTACTTATCCATAACCATTTCTCATAAAATATATGCTAGCAATTAAGCTGGATGGTCTGCCATGAAGTCTAAGGGCCTACTTTGAACTGAAACATTAAAATGAATGCCTTCTGAATCTTAATTGTCTGTGTCATAATTCTTTAAGTTATGGTATGGTAAGAGATCTTTGACTAGCAGTAAATGGTTTTCTACTTAAACTAAACAAAATGTGATCCTAATCGTATTTAAAATGTCATGAATACGTTCCATAACTAAATTAAATACAGCTCACTGAAAAAGAAACTTAGACATTAAAAGTATTGGTATCATGTTGGTGCCGAAAGATGTTTAAAGAATGCATAATCTTTAACGTCGATAAATTTGCAGAGAATGCAAATATTTAATGTTTTCAGTGTTGCAGAGGGTAGGCAAAGAGTTAGTATCTTTCAGAATAGTTATATGCCTGTTGCTTTCTCAGATACTGAAAGAGTGATTAAGGATTTCTTTGTATTTATGCTCTGCTTAATGTCTCCTTATCTTAGACTTTTTTCTTTCTCTTTCAGATGGCTTGTTATTGCAGTTGGTCTAGTTCGAGCATACCTGGCTAAAGGTAGCTACCATAGCCTTTACTATTCAATAGAAAAGCCCCTGAAATTCTTCCAAACTGGAGCTTTGCTTGAGGTAGGTGTAGTCTTCTTCCCTAGGGTTACTAATATTTGCATGAGTGTTTTCTTTAAGAGAAATAAGGCAACCTTTGAACAGTGCTGTCTAGGTACCTGTTTTTTCATTAGCATTTAGAATGATTTGAAGGTAAACATAAGAAATATGCCTCACACAAATGCTGAATTTTTCATGTTAGCAAGAGGTGAGGGAGCTCACTGTCTGCCATTTAGCTTGCGGGGCAGAGCTAAATATTAAGCTTAATCTTTGAAATACAAATATTGAATCTTGAGCTCTTGTGGTAAAACTAAATGTGTTTCTGAATTGCTTCATTTGAAATGTTAGTGATTTGAATTTTTCTTTTTGTTCTAGATTCTGCACTGTGCATTTGGTAAGCTTGTAAATTTTCAGTTTTATTATTTTTATAGAAGACTGCAGTTTTAGCAATATATTAGCATTAAAAATGTTCTGATCTATGAAATGCCAGATCTAATTCTTGCATAACTCACTAATTTTTGCTTGAAGTACATTCTAATTTTTACTAAATAGTTTGACAAGTTAAATCACAAAAAGGAAAATAGTGTAACAGGTTTTCAATTACTTGACATTCTATTTTTATCTAGATCCTTCCAATGCTACAAAGCTTACAGCAGTTTATAAATGTTTTATAGTAGATCATTACTCTCCATCTCTACATCCTATAGTCTTCTGTACCAAGCTGTCTTTCCTCAAAAAAAGTATTTCTAGCTGGAAGTAATTTAATTTCCAATAAAAATAACATTTCAAGCACTGGAACTTTGCCCATATCCATAGAGCATAAATACATGTTGTAAAATTAGGAATGGGTAACCACTCTTTATCCCAGATTTGGCTGTGCTTTAATGGAACTGTTTGGGAGAGTAAGAATTACTTAAGACTTGACTCGACAATTCTTGTTGGCCTGTACTGTGAGGCTTGTATGTTAGCTTGGTAGCAGGAACTCAATTGTGTATATGTGACCTGGGGTCAGTAGCAGTGTCATGGTTCAGTCAGCCTGAAGAGTCTCATGTCTGAGTGACAGGATTGCATCTTGTCTGGTTTGTTAGTCATCGTGAGTAGTGAACAGTTTGGCCTCAGCATTTGGATGTTTTGTTCATAGAATAGACGATGTGTCACAATCTCTGCAAGATCAAAGCCAATGTGCTATAAAAGGGAGCAGTGCCTGTCTGTATACCTTTGCCTAACTCTTGATTTTTCTAAACAATCCAGTCTTCACAAAGAGACAGTCTTATGTTCAGGTAGTTTGTCTTGTGATTTTAAATACAAGTGTTCGAGCTCCTACTTGAATGTTTGCTAGCTACTATTTAAAGAGTAAAATGGCGTTAAGATTCCTAAAGCTGCAGCTACAAACCTGCTATTTTTCATGTATTGTACAAACAATCTAAATACTGGAGGGTGTATCACTGTGGTACAAGTAGGTTCGTATTGAATTCCTGTGCGAAAGATTTTTTTTTTTTTTTGAATAACCAAATGTGCTAGTTGGAAAACTTAAACTCATATACATAAATTTGTCAGCAGAGGGCAGTCTAATTCTGCATTTGATAAAGTAATTCTGACCTTCCTGAATAATTCATTTACTCTGAAAATGTTATCTTATAAAGGGCAGTTTGTAGACTGTGCACAGATCATCCTAAGAAATGAATGATCAATATACTCATCAAATTAATGTAAAGGCTTCTCAGAGTAAACTATATGTATCATCGTTGCCTGTGCTGCCAAGGCAGTCCTTCCAATACTGTTTTATTTTACTAAATCTCAATTAGTGTTTTTTACCAGAATAAACCATACTTACTTTTAAAAAAATTGTCAAATATTAATAATAAAATGTGAAATTTTTGAAGTCTTATTTAACAAGTGGCAAGAAAGAGAAGTTAAATCTCAGAACACTGGGCAAAAAAACTTGCAAATAAAATGCTATTTTACCATCCTAAATGTATAATGCTCTACTGTTTTCTTAAGCTAAACTTGTGTGCAGATGCCAATGTTTACTAGTACTATATCTATTTTTTGAGTGTAAAAAAATTTAATTGGATTATCTTTTCCTCACACACAAGAATATATGTCCACACAAATCAGTGAATAGCAGGGGAGAGTCCTGTGTTTTCACCTTCCAGGTTGGCGTAGAACAGCAAACAAGATGACTGTACCAGCCTGTCTGTGTGCAAAGCTAATAATCCTAGCTCAGTTGATATGAGGTGTGAATCCATTTAGTCCATGTTATCCTCAATCACACAATTTGATATTAGTGAAGAGGGCCATTAGTGGAATGTTGCAACATTTTATACCATTATATCTCTATCTTTTTATTTCCCTAATGAAGTTTTTTACAAAAAACCCACTTATTTTATAATTGCTCACGGATTTCTTTTTTTCCTGTTAATGGAAACATTTGTCAGCTAAATGAAATGAGGTTTTTTTGCACAGCTGGATACACTGCTGCTGTCTGCTGTAGTCCTACTGACTCTGGTAAAAGTTTCTATGCAAGGAGAAACAGGAAATTTGCAGATTCCTTTGCCCCTGCTAAACTAATTGCTATAACTAGAGCTGTAATTCTCTGTCAATAGAGGAGCTTATCTGTGACAGATGGCTGTGTGTATCAGCATAACTTTTCTCTCCACATCTTTTCAGTAGAATCTGAAATGTTAGCATCTGTGAGGCAAGTTCTTCAAAATACGAAGATTGATAGGGGAATGTCTCTATCAAGCGTGGTTGAGAACAGAACTTTGGCATGTGGCAGAGATTTAAAAAATGAAGCAGGAGAGCTCTGCATGAAGAGAGGAAGTAACACGTAGCCCAGAGACCAAGAGGAGAGACTGAAGGACAGGCAAATGGAAAGTGAACATGCAATTCCTTGACTTGTATGGCAGACAGAATCCAAGTGTATGAATGGCATTGGTAACATGGAAGAGCTTCTGCCTGGAGGAACTTGGTATGGAAAGAGGTGATAGGAGCCACCAAAATGAAGCAATAGTAGTACAGGGAGTTTGTGAAGGGAATGGAGAAGAAAAGCAAAAAGGCCCAGCCTACAGAATCACTACAGTACCAGCCTTCCTACCATAGCAATACTTACCAGTAACCCTCTGGTAAGCCAAAGTCAGCACTGGTTGACTTTGCTTTAGCCTGCTCCGTTAGGAGGGATACGAGGGCTCCACCTGTAAGCTACGCATACAGCCTGTTTTCAGTCAGGAACTCCCTGGGAGAGAGGAAGCACTTGTTGGGAGTTGGAGGATTTCCTGCTGGAGGTGGGAGGCTTAGTCCAGGATCTGGAAGACATCTGGCTTACTTGCTGCTTGGTTCTGGACCTGACCCCCCTGTCCAGTACTGCTGTAGTACGTGCAATGTTGGATAAGTGGTGACAGATGTTTTTAAAAATACCAGGTTTAAAATTGTCTGTCAGGTACCTTTTCAGTGCAATGAGTAAATAATTAGAGGCAAGTAAAGTTCACATAAATTGTAACTGGTGAGTCGCTTATTTTGATCTCCTGTTTTTGGCATAGATTGGCATTGTCTTGGCTGTAACGAAAAACCTTGTTTGTCTTACTTGTGAGATAATTTTGGATGGTTCCTACACAGTCTTTTTGGCTTATTTATAGATTCCTTTGCAAGAACATTAGTTTATCTTGCTTAGGAAGGGATGATCTAAATTGTGTAAAAGAAAAGGTCTGTTATGTCGTAGGAGTGAGCCTTTAATGAGTACAGATTGTGGTATTTTATAGCACCCCCTTTTGTGTTGTCTGAGTAACAGAAATTCTGCCCTGAGGTTTTACAACAGAAATTAGATTATGAACAATACATGATAAAACTGAAGAGAACTGTGTTTGTAGGATTTTTCCCTCTTTTTACTCTGAAAGAAGACTAACATAATGACTGTGTGACTGAAAATAATTCTAGTGAAACTTGGTTTTGGCTTTTCTTATTCTTTCTTCCTCTTCCACTTTCTAATTTGGTCTTTACATATTTCTGAGGCTATTGTGTTGCTTGCTGTGATTTGCATTAGTTTTAGAAGCACTTTTTACTGTGTATTAGGAGCTGCAACTGCTCTTGCATTTGTCTTCATCATGCTATTGGAAGAAAATAAAACTTTGTGCTGTGAAGTTTAGAAATTTTGTGTAATCTTGCAGTCTAAAACTATTCCTGCTCTGTCAGACCTGGGTGTGTAGGATTCTTTTAGTGGCAGTTTAATCAGCACCTCAGAACTTGCTGAGAAGAACCAGTGAAATCTGCTTCCTTGAGAAAATCTTAAAATTGTTTCTGTACTTATAGAATGCATCAGATATTCCTTGGGTTTTGTTTTGTTTTTTTTAAAAAGTTGTATTCACAGGAAGGAATTATTAACTTTGTATCTATCAGAATACGGGCTAGATCAGTGTTTCTTCAAAATAGTTACACTTTTTGCTTGCTGTTTTTTGGGATATACTGTGCAAAACATCTTTATTGGTTTTACTTTTTAAATCACAGTAATGAAGAGTATCTTGCATATTTTAATCAAACAGGGTTTATTTGAAAGATTGTATCCCAAAAGCGATTTGGTTGAAGTTATCTCATCTTATTCAGCTGGTTTGTGTATTAAGGAATGTGCTATGACTGCAACAAGACCGATTACTTCCATTTGCATTTTGATGCACAAAGTCTTGTCATGGGATTACATTGCATTAGGCTGTATAAACACACCACAGGACAGACTTCATACTCTCAAACTAAAAAATTAAATGCTTTCCTTCCAAAAATTTCAAATAACTGGGTTTTGGCTTAGCTGCGTTTCAGTTCCCCACCCCACCTCCCACCCCGATAGTCAGGAATATTTACTAATTGCAAAATATCTTCCAGGCATTGTTCCCTCTTCTGTTGTTCTGACTGCTTTCCAAGTGATGTCAAGGGTTTTCCTGACGTGGGCAGTAACACATAGTGTAAAAGAGGTAAGTTAAGCTACAGAATAGATAGAAAAACTAATGACCCATGCTGAAAAGCAAGTGTTGATCGCTGTTTTATTTTCCTTAAAATGACTTCTGTTTGTATCCCAATGTGAAATTGTTTATGTGAATTTTTGTGGATCAAAAGAAATAAAAATAAATCTGACGTCATCTTTTCTTGACAATCAAATAGACTGAGGTCTGATTCTCTCACTCTAAGACATCTAGCTCCTGAACAGATTTTGCAGTCTGTACTGAAAGTTAAAGAGGTTCCAGTGTGTAATATGGAACCCAGAATTTGGGACAGCGTTCTAGCATTGATCTCACAAGTGCCATAATTAATAGTAAAATCTCCTCACTTACCCCTCTTTCATACACAATTTGTTTTCTTTACCATGACATGTGGAAGCTCCCTCTCAAGTGTTTGTGCACAGCAATGCCTGGATGTTCTCCATTATCACTTTCCAGGATAATCTTCCCTCTGTCCTGCATTAATTTTTCTTACATTCAAGCGTAGGTGGGTTTTGGGGCCTGCATGTTTTTTCTAATTGCTTACCACACCAAATATTGCTGTACTTTATACAAATCTCTGCAGAATCTTTTGGAAGCAATCTTATTTGAAAATTATTCCTGACAGTTATTTTAAAATCTAAACATGCTTTAATTGATACAGATCATGCTGACTGACCCTTTCATGTCATCCGAATACCTTGTAGTAGCTCAGATATGCTGCATCTGTGCTGTTACTTTAGCCAACCAATCTTACTGGTTTTCTTCTCATTAAAGGAAGAAATTAGTCTTGATGCCAGTGTCAGCATGGCTGCCTGAAATAAGTGATGGTCATCTAGCGTCATTATATGCATAAGATCTTTTGTGACTTGAGATGGAGAATGTCTTAAGGAGCTTGTCTCATTACCAAGTCTTCAGGGAGTCTTTCTCTTCCGTACTCCAAACCTGTTATCAGAGCATCCATCCACATGTAGAGTAACATAAGTCACTGTAATTCCTAATAATTAACAGCTTTTCTGATGCTTGTTCATGTGGAGCCTTAGTTTCATGCTATTTAAAGTGGAGGAATGTTATTTTTCTCAATAAACTCAAAAGCTTGTAAATACTTATCTTTTGTATGGATTTCACTTTTGGTGCAAATAAATGTGTTCCAGTCTCTGTTAATTCACTGGAGATAAATACTAGATTTTGAACAAAAAAAAGCCGTAATCCCAAGACATTAGATTTTAGATACATGTATAAAATATTTTTAAGAAATATGCCTGTAATTGTGCTTGTTACCTGTATAATACTGGGGTACCTGGGGCTTCATAAAGAACAGCAATAATATGTTTTTATGCATTGCCTCCTGGTTGTGAAATAACCCAAATGTTAAAGGTTGGATTGCATGGATTAGAATTATTCCATGTGTTGTCTGTTAGACACCAAAGGGAAGTCTGTAAAATGATTGTGGGTTAGGTTTTTTGAAACTTATGCCCACATTCTCACCAGAGGAAACCAGCAAAATGGAAGAAAATGTGAGCAACAAGTTCAGCCTAACATTCAATTTTTAACAAGGATTTTTTTTTAACAAGGATTCTTTCAACAGTATTACAGTGTTTTCCTCACACTTGTGTGGTCTTTTGGTTAAAGTCTTGCGAGAGACTGTATTATGTGTTACTTTTTAAAAATGTCTTAGAAAGTGGGCATAAGAATGGTAAGGATGAGGAATCCTGTGATGAGTTTTTCACCTGTGACTTAGAGCAAATAAATCAAATGAAGAGGCTATATTCTGACCCCTCCCCTTCCCCCCAACCAGAGAGCATGCAGTCTCACCTGGGGAGATGTATTGAAAGTGTCACGAGTGTTCTACTTTTTCTAAAGGGCTGTCCGCACAAGTGAGCTCCATGGTGAAGTCCAGGATTAAATTCTCACACAGCTTTATGGAACTTGTAAGCTATGCAGTTGCATGATGAGGTTCTTGTAAAATAAAACTCAGTTTTCCTCTTTAACTTTTTGAGTGAGACTTGTTCAGTATCTTGCTTTTCCAGACTGTTTTCATATATAATATAGTTAAAAGAAGAAACATCTGTATTGCATCCCTCCTTTCTGTCAGAATACACTTCTAGATATGTGATGTGATTTGAAGCATGCTTCTTGCCACTAACATGTTTGTGCTTTTTGTTGAATTTAGTGCTGATGTGTTGTTAAATTCAATATGAAAGTATTTATAATAAATGTTAAAGCATGGCAAATGTTAAAGCACTGCACACTTCTTTGGGTAGCAATGAGATTCCCCTTACCTCCATCACATGGGTAGCTGTTAGCTTAGTGGAGGAGGGCCTGGCATGTAATATAGTACTTGCAATTGTTTTGTCATTACATCAGAAAGGAATTGTTTTGGTGAATTTTACTGTTTCTCCTGCAAAGGAGGGAAGAGAATGAGCAGACTGGTGTGAAGGGCTAGAAGACAGAAGGTGCGGTTCAATTCAAAGTTGTCTTTTTGAATTGGCGTGAACAATGAGATCATTTGGTGACATCATGGCAGGCTTTCATAGAGTTCTGTTCTGATAGATAATTCCACACCCAGTTCTGATGGGTAATTAAAAAATGGTGTCAGCAGTGATTTAATGCTTATCCAATTGGGTGTAGTTGCAGATAAGTATAGTATATATTTAGAGGAACCTTTCTAGAACAGAGTCAAAAGGGGTGGTGTGAAGACGACATGTACGGCATATTGAGCTGGTAATTGAGACTCCAGTATCTGCAGTTGTGAATTGACATCTTCAATCAGTAGTAAAGCATACTTAAAGAGGGAAGAGCATCTTAATTTATGATACTTAAGACTAAGTTGTAGTAAAAGAAGTCCATGCTGGAAAGTTCAAAACTCTAAATGGGTGAGTGCAGTTGAAAAGCCTCATTCATCACTGCTTTACATCTATGTAAAATTTGAGTAATACTGTATAACACAAATGTCTGTCAGGCCCTTTGTGCCTACTGTGAAGCTTCCTCTTTCTTTCTTTTCTTTTTTTTTTTTTTTTTTTTTTGAATTGGTGTACCAGCGAACAAGCGCTCTAGAGGGAGACATGCTGTTTCATCATTACAGTTGCATAGTGCTGCTGGTTTTACTCTTCTGCACTGGATTGCTTAAATATGTGTTTAGCTGAAATTTTCTGCAATCAATTTGTCAAACTGTTACTCTTAATGTGGAGAAATCTATAGAATTTCCCTTTTCATACATAAGGAGAACAGTAAAAGTCTCTCAGGCTTTATTTTGTCAATTCCCAATTCTCATCTTTGCATCTTAAAAGGCTATGGATTCTCTTACATTTTAACAAACATTGTCTGCTATTCATAGTATTGAACATAAGCTAAAATATATTCAGGACCCTCCTTGATGATAAATTGGTTTGAAACACATGCCAAAAAATTATGCCCGGGGTATGATTGACCCTTATTAAGGCAGTTGGACAAATAAGTTGTAAATAAAGTATAAAATGTGCTTTGACTTTGTCTAACACCTCCTTCAAAGACTGGCATGAAAAAGTAGAATAATAGAAACTGAGTTCTGAGGGCAGCATTGGGCTTAATGGTTTGTTAAAGGTCTGCTGTTCATTGGCTGTACTATCCCCCTTATCCTCAACTTGGAAGAGGAACGATACAAATGCAGCATTAGCAGTGCCTAAATAAATAAGACTCTTGAGAGACTGTTTTGTAAATCAGTTCCCAGGGGTTTGATAATGTGCATCTCAGACATCTTTATTTGAAGTACTGAAAAATTGTCGGTCCTCAAAGAGATGTTCTAATAGTGACAGACTTCAGATGGATCCGTTAGTGTGTAAGAAACATACTTTTTAATGATGAGCTGTGGAATGTAGTTAAAATATAATGATAAAATGCACAATAGTCTTCTGTTCCTTACTGCACAGAATGGAACTATTTGAAAACTGTATAGGTCACTTTCGTATGAAAACTACCACCAATTTCCAGTATTCTTTCTTCCTTAAATAGGGACACAAGCTATGAAGGCACAATCAATGATTCTTTGTTAAGTGACCTGAACAGGGTTGTGTGTGTGTGTTTTATAATGCTGTGAACTGTTTTAATAACTTCTAAACACAGTTCAAATACTAAAGTAGGTGGGAAAGACTAGACCTGAGAAGTGTTACAGAAGTCCTGTGATAGAACTGGACTGTAACTGCCAGATTTTCTACTACGTGTGTCATTCACTGTTAGCTTCACAGTTTCTTGTCCGTGCTCATGTTCTTGGGTGCTACTTCAAGCTACAAATTTTTGTTTGTTGGTTGGGAAAGAAGTGGGGTTTCAAAGTACAGGTTGAAATCTGCAATGCGTAGGTTTAGATGAACTCACTAAGCTGCTACTCCTGATTTGACCAGAAGATGCAGCTCTGGAGTGCTTGTGAAGCATGTTGCTCCTTGGGAACAGCATCATCTGTGAAGTGCTGTTAACCTTTCCAGGTTGAGAACTAAGTCTTACTTATAAAGCAGACCCCAAACAAGATAAGCATCCTGAAGCAATGTAAAAATAGATTTCACCTCTTCTCTGAAAATCTTCAAATAAGTCTTAGATTTTCTTCTTTTATGATGATGTAAGGGAAATCAATATATAAGCAAATTATCAGTGTTTCATGTGGAAAAAGGACAATGTGCATTTGCTGCAAAATGCAATGAAAGTGACTTGAAATGCTATATGCAGCGGAATATAGATTAATAGCAGCTCTACATTCCAGGATATCCCAAGACTTCAGTATAAATCTTCCTGGGTTTTGTAGTCTGTAACAGAAAGCTTTTTATGGATAATCCTCATTAGTGTTTTTACATGCAAATATATGATCAGTCACCTCCTATTAAAAGGTTTCTGATTGCCCATATATTTTCTTATTCCTTTTTTTGTTTGTACATGTACTTTGCCCAAGATGAATAGAGTGTACCACCCACACCTACTGACTTCCTTTTCCCTTTTTTCAAGATGGAGGGGAAAAAAAAATGCAGGCCCCTGTGGTTGAGCTTTTTTTGTTCCCACGGTCCACTGAGTTTGGGCTCAAGGTACTCCTAGAGCTGAGAATTCTGTTGAAGGAGGGGGCTACATAAAAATTATGTTTGCGCTCTCAAGAGTTTGTAGTGTGGGTATGTGACCCCATATACTTCTTCATCAGTGTTATTCCATATGAAACTTAAACCCCATAATTATGCTCCCAAATCTAATAATTCATTTTAAAATACATGCTTTTGAAGATTAACCTTCAAAATATGAAGGGAGTAAAAGCTGGTTCAGTGATGTATGTCTGAAATAAAAGCTCTAGGAGGTGTAAAGCAGTGAAACATAATAATGCCTTGAGTGTAACATCAGATTAACTATGCTGGATACAATAAGCAGAAAAAGGAGCAAGGAACAGTGAAGCAGGCAGTTGTCAAGCTTACCTGAGATGGGACCATCTGAGCTTCTGTTTCTTCTCTCCTCCCAGACTATGTCCTGGTGTTAGCTGTTTTGCTGCTGCTCAAAATTAGGACCCAGTTTCTCATCTGTAGAGAGAGGAAAACAGCGCTTCTACTCAGAAATAGCATGGACTAGGATCAGAATATAAAGTCTAAACCAGATATCAAGTGTTAGACTAATGTGTTAGCATCCTTTCTGCTTGCTGCACTAGGAAGCAATCATAGGACTGAAATAGAAGCTGGTACTGTTTAGGAATGGGAAGAGTTATGAGTTGTTCTCAGCATTTCAGGGATTTCTTGTACTAATTTACCTTGCATCGAATGGGAGATCTTAAGCTATCTAATCACCAAGCAGAGCTGTTCTTAAGCAACTAGAAAAATACAGAGCATGATAAGGAGGGGTTTTTACTGTTTTTACTAATGTTGCTTTTAAGCTCATTCTTGGAGTCTGTTCTCTAAAATGATGCAGTAAAGCAACCCGTGGGAATTGATTTCTTTGAGGTGTTCTTGGGTCTGGTGAGTAAGTAGTAACGCTTGAATTCATATTGAACATTTTTTCTTTCTTACAGGTACAAACTGAAGATAGTGTCCTGTTGTTTGTCGTGGCCTGGACAATCACTGAGATAATCCGTTACTCTTTTTATACGTTTAGCTTGTTAAACCATCTCCCTTATCTCATCAAATGGGCCAGGTAGGTGGCATAATAGAAATCATAGCCTTAAAGCACTGATTTGAGAGGGATATTTATCTTGTAAAATAGTTGCAGTAAAAAAATTAGATTCTACCTTGAGGTAGTTGCCCTGTTTGTGAATGTGACTTCCTAGCTGCTTTCCAGCAGATATCTGGGTTAAAAAAAATCTGTTACATTGTAAGTGGAAAGAGTAGTTTGTTAAAACTCAGTCCCATCTACAAAGTGATTTTGTTTATCAGAAACTGACATTTAACAGTAAGGGGTAACAGTAAGTAACATTTAACAGAAACCTTTGAATCCAAGGGTTGTACTTGAAACAGTCTGTAAGCTCATTGATTAATATCAACTGTGTTTGACCCCATTTTAAGTAATGTAATGACCTGTACCAAAGAGTTCAGAAATGAAAGTAACGGGGGGCGGGGCGAGAGAACAGTTTTAAAGATGGTTTTCAGATTCTCAGAGGTAATCTTAAAATAATTCAAACTGATGGCTGATTTGAATACTTATCTTGCAATAGTGTTCACACCTTGCCAAATCAAATAAGAGCTAAGGGAAATAAATACTTTAAAATTTAAAATTTGAATATCCATAATAGCATTAACAAATACTTTGTCAGTTTGTCATAACTTTTAATCCTTTCCATAAATGTTTTGTTCTAGGTACACTTTGTTTATAGTATTGTATCCAATGGGAGTCTCAGGTGAATTACTCACAATATATGCTGCATTACCCTTCGTCAGGCAGTCTGGCTTGTATTCCATTAGTTTACCTAACAAGTACAATTTTTCTTTTGACTACTATACATTCCTGATCCTGGTTATGATCTCTTACATTCCAAGTAAGTATGAGTTTTTTAGGTTTTTTTTTTAAATATTAAAAGCTATAATAGGAAAAGCTAATAATTGTGGGATTAACATACATATAACTAACTAATTTTGCAAAATTAATTTTGACAATTATCTAAAGAAAAAAGTCAGAGTTAAAACTGCAGGGATTCTTTTTACCAACATCTGCAAAACAGTAATACATGTTTTTTCTCTTACACTTGGATTATTAAATAACTTTGGTACTTCATGGCAAATGTTGACATCTTAATTCTCCACCCCGACCCCCCCCGGCCCCTTACAGACTTTTAGGAGAACAAAGTTCAAAACCGCTTCTAAAAATTTAGTTCTTTATCAGGAATAAGAATATTGCTTTTGCATTAGTGCGTGAGGAACTATTTCTGTTGAATTAACTTGAATTGACATAATCTCTGGTTGATGTTTCTATAGATGGAATGAAGATTTGGCTTTGCTGCTTTGAAATGGGAATAGGAACAGGAAAGCCTTTAGCAAATTTAAATGTGCAAATAAAGCCTAACGTGCAGAATAATGTAGTGATGGTGCTGCTGTTAGCTATCTCTGCAGCTGTCTTTATATGAACCTTGTTTGTGCAGAATGATAAACCATATTCAAAGATTTAAATTTCAGTAGTGTGGCTGTCTCTATAACAAGCACTTACACTTTTAGTGAACCATCTTGTAATTCTGATATCAAGGTTCATAAGTTTTTCCAGCTGTTCTTAAAAAAAAAACCAAAACAAACCACTTTTCATGCATTTGTTTCTCCTTGTTCCCCTCCTCCAAAAATGGTGATGTTACTAACTCCAAGCAGCCAGAATAATACCTTTTGTTTCAGTCAAAATAACCATGAGTATTAATTACTTCTTGTGCGGTAGCGAGATCACAGTTGACAGGCCATGTGGGAGAGAACCCACATTGAACGCAAGTAACAATTTTAGCCTGCTTTCTCCATTAAAATTGCTGTCTCTTAAATGAGGTATTTGCAGTGATCTGTTATCATTTGCTGGATATGTAACTTGAATGCAGTCTTTTTAATTTTTTTTTTTAATTATTTTTTTAATTATTATTGTGAATTGGTACATGAACTCTGAGAACCAACTGCTTGGACTCAAGCAGTCTTAGGTGCCTTTTCACATGAAGGTATTCCTGAGATACAAGAAAAGCAATATTCATTGCAGTCATTGATTGCACTGTAGTTCAGTTGTTCATTCATAAAAGCTACCTATGCAGGAGTTACGCCTTCTGAACACACTTAAGATCTTGGAAATTTTGGGAATGTTAATATCATGAGGAAATCAAGCTTTGAAAACTGTTGTTAAAAATTGAGTTTTTACATTCCTGATAGTTGCATCTTACCATTTACCTCACTTTAAATCTCCAATTTAGTACTTGTCTGTCAAAATTGATATCTTGCTAGAGAAGATGTCATTAAATTCTTTGCACATGATGGATCCCCATTACTTAGACTTCTAACGGAGAAACCACGTGGCTCTGTATTGTTATGTCTCTGGACAGCTGTATTCACTCCTTAACACTGGTGGAGTGAATCAGGATAGGGGGGAAACAATCAGGAAATGAAATACAAGGTAAAGAAAGCCAAAAGAAAAAATGTTGGCCTGAAAAAAAAATTTAGTACACAAATTAAATAGACTTTGGCTGATGTTTATGATGAACATTTTGCCTGTATAACTGATATAATTTAGGCTGATGCTGACCTTATTTAATTTTCATATGGTTCACAAAGGTTCAGTGTCTCATGGCAATTTTAGCTTTTGCTGTTTATGTATGTATGTTTTCCATCCCCTACTTTGTTGTTCTGCAAACATACTGTGTAATGTAGTCTTAGAAATAGGAGGAGAAAAAGCTTTGCATGAAGGATAAAGAGAGAAGAGATGAAAGAGGCACCAGTTTGTATAAAGTTCCTTAGATCCTGAAAAAGTGACACTAGAATTATATGTTATATACATACATTCATTATATATGAAAACTGGAAATTTCATTCTTCCGGAAGGACTTTTTCCTCATGTCAATGTATTTTCTTTCTATTGTGTGTGTGCAGTTCAGGAAACTCTTGTCATCCTGCTTGTACATGCAGAGTTAAATAAGGCATTTTGCATTTAATTAAAAATGTGATTGCTCTAGCAAAAAACAAATAGTACCTGAAGCCTCAGGACAATATCACTTACTCTCTTTAAAGAATAAAAGGCAATAGATGACTTCATCGGAAAGCAGATAAGCATGTTTTCGTTTAATAGAGAATTGGTGACCTTGAGCATGTGACTGTGCATCTTACATTGACTTGTAAGCCTCACTTCATACTTTATTTACTTAAGTCTGTTTTCTTTTCAGTCTTTCCTCAGCTGTATTTTCATATGCTACATCAGAGACGAAAGGTACTCTCCCACACTGAAGAACACAAAAAGTCGGAGTAATTCCAACTCTTTTTCAGAACTTTTCAAACATCAAAATGCTGCAGATTTTCAATACCCAGCACATTTATAAAGAATATACCAGGATAAAATAAGTCAGAGGTAAAAGACCAATAATTTAGCAAGAATAACCAATAAATCTGATTTCACTGAAATTCCACAATGTAAAACATTGAAATAATTTTCAGCTTGCAGTGCTTCAGAAAACTTTAAAACTTTATATGGCTTGGCAGTTAGCCTTTTCCTTTTCCTTAAATGATGTGCTAAATGGTTTTCATTTATTACTAAATGCCTGAAGGTTGCAGTATAAGTGATGAAGTTGTACCCACTAAATGCTTGAATTGGGATTATATTACTGATACCTCTTTTTTAAGTGCTTGACTGCATGCCAGAAACTGTATGTATTGCTGTGAAAGCAAACAATATGCTCTGGAATACTTTAGGATTTTGTCAGAGACTCCAGTGGACAATGTAATCCGGGCAAAGTGTTTGAATTTAGAAAGGTAGGTTGTGTATTTAAAAGGTGATGGGAACAAGAATAGGAAACCAATTATGGGAAATGAGGGGAATGTGGTTCTTTAGGAATTTAAACAGTAGGGTGTCTGACCAGAGCGTTCTCTGAAGATCTTGTTTAAGCCGACTACTCAAATGCTAATGTTAATTCAGAGGCTATAATGCTTATCTGAAACATTAAAACTCCTCTAAGTACTGCATCCCTGGATACTTCTTTAAATATTTTCAAAAAAATAATGCTAACTGTAATATTTCTAGTGATATCAGTAATGAATCTAAACAATATAAGGAGGCAGGTCACCCAGAAACAGGTGCAGTTCTCCCTTTTTTACTTTAAATTATCATCTCTAATCACTGTCCACTATCTCAGTGGTACTCATCTTTCAGTGTTGAGGACTGTTTAGTCTACTGTGGAATCATTTGAGGGCCTTGTTCCTCAACCTAACTTTTCTCAAGTGACTAATGTGTATCACTCTGGCACATCCAAGCAGGCAGTTCCAGACACTCAGGTTCTGAAATGTTGCAAAGTCATAAGCTCCTTCTTTGAAAGCAGATTATCTCATGTGTTACGTGCTGCTTTTGCGGATTGGACAAGCCTTCCCTCATCTGCTCTTTTGAAAGAGCAGAAGGCCATAGAAAGTTAAATTTTCCTAGGTGCTTTCTCTGGGTTCTCAGGCTAAGCCTTCCCTTGGGAAGGTAAAACAGAAAATGAAAGAACTGAGAAAATGTTGTGGCGAGGCAGAATGCACTAATGCTGTGTGAGCAGTGTCCCAGGTTATGAACAAACTGTTGATGGGGGCCGGGGGGGGAGGGGGGAGGAATGGAAGGGACAAAGGGAGCAGGGAAATGAACAGATATCCAAGCAAAGGCAAAAGGAAATGTAGGGTATGGTCTTCGCTCTGTTAGGAGTTGATAGTTGAATAGTCCTGTCTTCACCCAGTCGGAGCCACTAGACAACAACACAAGGGCTTCTCTGGCTTCCCTCTTGTAACATCATGATTTAGTGCATAAATCATGTGGTAGAGGTGTGACCACTACCATGGTACCTACAATACTAGTCTTGTGCTGTGCATGCCAGCACCTCCCCCTGGACATGGCCCATATCTGTGTCCCAGTTACTTGTGCTTGACTCATCACAGCTGACCTTAAACATAGCCAGTAAGTACTAAGGGCACAGGCTCTCTGTTCTAGCACTTGGGGAGAGATGGATTTACAATTATTTTTGTTTATGTTTGTCAGAGCTATATTTAAAAAAAAAATTTTGCATTCTTCAGTAGTCTCCTTTGGTTCCATCAAAAAGTCTGACTGAATTTTCATAGTGCTCAGTAACATGTATAACACCTTTCCTGTTCAACACAAACAGGACTATTGTAAGCAGGGAGAGGGTAAGAGACAATAATGATCTTTGCTTCTATTTTAAACCTTTTGGAGACAGTTATTGGCTGTAATCAAAAACGCTATGGTTATATACAACCTCAAAGTGGTTTTGCATTCAAAGAGGCAACAATTTCAATTCATTTCTCCATTAGGTTATGCGGTGCTTTGTTGTAGTGATCTGAGAAATGTTGCATTATACTGAACTCATTGTTCAAAAGTGTAAACTTCCACCTCTGAACAAAACATCTCCTTTTGCTTATACTTGCTATCAAAGGAGTTAGTGTCAGTATTTCTGAAGGATGTCATCTAAAAGATCTGATTTCCTGATGTACTCAGGTTATTGGATATCGTCGATGCTTAGCTCCTGAACTTTTCTTGATTTGATTTCTATGCCCAAATAAAAGATTTGGTTTCAAATTTGTTGGTCCAATTTGGAGGAAAAAAAGGCTGTGTAATATTCCTATATGAAACAAACTCATAGCTCTGTGGATGAGAAAGATGTAGTACAGATCTGTATTAGATAGCATTGGCGCTATGGAAAAGCAAAGAGAACTGCCAGTAGGGAGAAGGCTTGTACAACCAACATCTTTACTGAATAAGCTTTATTATGGAATATTTACTTTAATTGAAAATATTAATCTACCACACAAATGCAAATAAACTACAGCCTTTTAAAAGAAAATGGAGTTACTTTTCCTTTTAAAAGAAAAAGAAATTGCTTTGATAGTAAGAAATCTTATCAGCAAAGTTGATTGTATTCTGAAGTATGAACATGCAGTTGGTATGTACAAGAATTCCAGCACTTCAGCTTGCAGTGCTTTTTCAAGTTTAGCTTCCATGGAAACCACTGGAAAGTGATCTTGAGTAAGAACTGTAGTGTGATGCCCTAATACTGTTTGGGTTTTTCCCTAATACTGACTTTGGTCACACGTATGGATTTTTTCCTCCTCATAAAATAAGAACAAATTTCCCTTCATCTGTCACCGATATTGTAACGTGATTTATGTGAACTTTATAATAGAAGCTTTGATTAGTACTCTTTGTCACAAATCTAGAGGGTTGGTTTTTTTCCCACAGACTATTTACTTGGCTTGCATGTTTTCTGTCAGCATCACCAAACTTCTGCAGCAGATGTGTTTTCTGCTTTGGTAGTCTTTGTGTTGTGTGCACTGGTTCAGTCGACAATACTTCATGTTCTACCATGCCAGCTTTGTCCGAGTTAGTCGTTACCCTCTAAAAGACCAAGGTTCTTACCAGTGTATAGTTTACAACTGGAATTGTAAAAATGTTCATATTGTAAATTACAGTAAGATGCAGGTTACAGTGCAGGTAGATTGTAATTTTTCACAATGTGATGTTTCTATCAAAGTTTCTTTTTTTATTTATCAGTAGAAAGGCTGGCATTTGTGTGGACCAATCTGCAGTGTCATCTTAAAGCCTATCTTTCAGCTTAAAATTTTCATGAGTATACATCAAATCATACAATTTTGATGTATATTTATGTCAGTGAAATTTGGCTGAAAACTATATACAGTCATTTTTGTATTTTTTTTCTATGTTGTGAAGAATAAAATTGTAATTTTATAAGTCTGATTCACTAAGATTATTATAAGTTAAATGTATTTTTTGTATATTTAGGAATCTGGTATTACCTGGAGCTCTGAAAGATTAAGCATAGACTTTTTATGCATGTTTGGAAGATATTTCTACTTGATAATGCAGTGAAATGGTTTGTATGCTAAAATACTAGTCTGTGTTGTTGCCTCGTGAAATTGATTCTGTGCTCTCTGCCTGGATTTGGCCTCCTGATCAGTGATACTAATTGCTATAATCCAAATAAAATAATTCTGAACAAAATATGTTGTGTTGTTATTGTTTAACGAACAAAAGCAGATACTTTATAAATGTGAATTAGGGCTGTATTTTTATTCATTTGTATATAATATGTACCTTGCAATTTACAAGGTACATAATATAATAAGGTATATAATATGGACCTTGCAATTTTTGACATATAACTTTTGAGCTCAAACAAAAGAATTAAGCAACTTGATACTGTTACGAATGCTCTGCTTTTCACTTTTAAAAGAGGTGTTCATAACAATGTGTTAACTATGTTAACATTCAAACCTACAACTTCCTGAAGGATCCTCAGTAGAATGCAAGCTCTTTGTTCTCCTGTTGTTATCTGTACTCTAGATGGTGATGGTTTTCTACAAAAAACAAAATCATTTGAGTATTATAAATATAGTGGAATGCTTAACTAATGCAACAGAATACTTCAGAGTTCATTTACTAAATATAATATGTCTGCTACCACGGCAACGTTCTTAGCATTTTTAACACTTCCTGAGAGAGATTTAAATACTGTGTCTAGATGCCATTAATGCTCATAAATAACAAGTTATAGTCCTCTAATAGGAACTGAGCAGTAGTTGCAGAGTGCTATTATTCTGGGCATATGTTTGTCATAAGATAGCACAACTACAGTGATTTTTTTGTTTGATTGCAAACGGGATGAAATAATGTTGTCATGCCCAACATCAGCACATGTCCTACGCATGATAGCTGTGACTTAGCACTACTGTGTAATTAAAAACTTATCTTTGAAATGTTATGCCGTGAAGAGTGGTGCTGAGCTCCATTTGTGCCTTAGAATAACTGTTACTGGTTATTTGTACTTCCTCTTTGCATTTTGAAAACAGTATGGGTGGAAACAATTTTAGTTACCTGGGGTAACATTAAGAATTCTGAAAAGCATAAGGATTCTGTGTTTGTAAGCAAATTAATTTCACAATAGTATTTAATGCTCATCTTACATAAAGCATTGGCACTTCTTGATGTAAGATTCGAGGAAGGATCTGTGCTGGTGTGCCTAGTATAAAATAAAAAGGTGTGAATATCTGTGTGATTTAGTTTCATTTGGTATGGACTGAGCATTTCTAGAGTTTGGACTGATTCATTCAAGCCACCCAACTGCCTGAAACTTCCATTCAATATCAAGTGGCTTTTAAATTCTGCTTCCCATCTCCTAAACAAATACTCTTCCATACTTGTCAGAAGACTTCTAATATTGTAGTGGGAGAATTAATAAAGCTTCTGTGGTGGTTTCTGAAGGCTACCTAGAAGCAGTTGGAATTAAAAATGTGGATGGGAAATTTAAAACTCTTTCAATACTGTTGGTCAGTGATTTCCAGAATAGTACTTTCCTTTACAGATGTGAAAGATCCTAAAGCCCTTTTTATGTCTTAACAAATTAGCTGGGCATTAGTATTGTCAGAGGTGTGTTTTTCTGTTTGATTTGCTGACATTGAAAATGGGAAAGAGATGTTTTAAACATAAAATAGATGCATATTATTTCAATCTTCCACTATAAAAGCATAATTTAGAAACACTTCCATGTCTAGTTAGACTTGCACAAACTCTGTGTCGCAACAAACTGCCTTTCTGTAGATTAAATTAATTCCATATAGTTTGTACATAGAAATTTTACATTACCTGGTACTACATAAGGATATTATTATTGGGAAATCCATCAGTGGACGTTTTCGCAGAGGCTTATTCAGCTGAATTGTGAACACTGAATTGTATTTTGTCCTGTCTTTTTGACTCCTGCTTCAGACAATCTGCACGATCTTCTGCAAACCATCTGTAGCTGTCATTTAGGCACTGTTAAATATTATAGTCACCATATATAAATATCACTTACAACAAGTGTACATTAAAAACTTTAATACTGACATTTTCTAGTTTGAACACTTGAACTTGCAGAATCATATTTGCTGTGTAATCTACATTCAGCCTCTTCAGCACTACAATGGGTTAGTCTCACTCTAAAAAAGGTGAG